TATTTAATCCTCGCTGGAGCTCCAGTGGAGGCAAGGTGTGGGTGGCCAAGCCTCTGGGGACAGAATGCGTGAGACCCGAGCTCAGCGGGCAGGGGGTTAACCTCAGAAGTAAGCACCCCTCCCAGCCGGGAGAGCTCCTGGGGGAAGCTGAGTTTGTTGGACAGAAGGAGGCTGACTGGCCAGGAGGGTGAAGGGAGGACCTACTGTGTGCTGATGCTTGCCCCTGGGGGAGTGATGCCCTCGGCACTCCTTGGGAGCACACCTGGGTTGGTACCTTAAGGTGGGTACCTGTCTATGGCCAGCTCTGTGCCCGGGGACCCCTTGGTGAACAAAACAGACACAAGCCCTACCCTCAAGGAGTCTGCGTTACAGTAAGAGACACAGTGAAGAACCAAACACAGAACAGAATGTCAGGCAGCGGTAAGTGCTAGGAAGAGAAACGTGCGCACGAGGGGACAGAGGGGGAACTCTCCGATAAGGGGACGAGTGAGCAGAAGCCGTAAGGATAGCTGGGAGAGGAGCATTCCCAGGTCCAGGGCACGGCCAGCACCAAGGCCCCCAGCCAGGAGCAAGCTTGGTGGAGAGCCCGGGGCTGCGGCGGCCATCGGGGGCTCGCATCTGGGCTTCTATGTTGAGAATGCACGATGGGGGTCAGGCTCACACAGTAGGGGTCCCTGCTGGCTCCATCACACGAGTGAGCCCAAAGGGCCTTGCTCCTTGCTCAACCTGTTCTAAAGCAGGTACCAGAGTGAGGGTGGTGGGGACCAGGGTGCCACCTGCCCCTCTCGTCACCTGCCCGGCCAAAGCCCAGGCACACCCCCCACACCTTCCTGCAGAGCCACATAAGCCAACCCCTGCGTGTGCTCTGAGTTGCCCCATAGTTATTTTATTCACTCATCCAGCAACGCTTAAGGGCGGGGGGTCCATGTAGAGGAAATGGGGACATGCACAGAGGCCACTGCTTTCAGGGAGCTCACATTCTCAGAGGCACAGGGTGAGCAGGGGGCTCAGGAAGGCTGCCCAGCGGGGAGGCTGACTCCACGTGACCGGGAGCAGCGGGCACACAGCTGGAATCACTGACTTACACGTGATGACCTCTAGGAGGCCGGGAGCACTAACCGGGCGCCCCATACCCTGCACCCTGGCCCCATGAACGGTGACGAAACCAGGCACAGGGAGAGAATGGGAAGGGCTCAGGGTCACACCAGAACTTAGGGACCCCAGCCCTGAGGAAGGAGCCCAGTGAGTGGGTGCCCCAGGGTGGACTGGGAGGAGACCAGACCACACCCAACAACAGGGTCCAAAGACCCTTCCTCACCTGGTCTGAGACAGCAGCCCCAGTGTGGCCAGCCCAACCGCACTGGTCGGAATCACGAAGAAGTTTCCACCTGCGGCTGACATGCCAGGACCCTCTTGGGAAACAGAGGCGGGGCCCCTTCTGGAAGCCCGAGGAACCAGCTCCTGAAGAGGGGACCTCGGCCTGAGTCTGCGACAGCACCCCTCAGCCCCATCGGACAGTGATGAGTTCAGGGAGCTGTTAGTAACATTCCCGTTTTAATAATGATAGAATCTTTGGCCTTAAGATATTCTCCCACTTCAATTACCCACTTTACAGGAGAGCTAACTCAGAGCCACGGCCTCCAGCTTGGACACCCCCCCCCGCCCCCGTGGAGCCCACCGGCTCCACCCTCAGAGGGCCACCTCCTGGCTAACACCCGCCTCTGCGGCCTGCTGGGGGCCGCCTGGGCACTGCCAGTCCTGGGAAGCTGGCCAACTGCAAAACGTGGGATTACAAAAAAAGCCCAGCTTTATCAAGTAGAAAATCCCTATTTCCAAATGAAAGCAGGCAGGGATACCCAAACAGTAGACTTATAAAAGGGGAAGTACCACCCCCGCCCCTCCCAGGGAGCAGACTCAGCTGGCCCTAGGCTCTGCTCCCCGAAGACTGGAGTCCTGTCCCCTGCAGCCTATTTCTGGCAGTCAGAAGGGGCTGCCCCCTCCACATCCCGGGCCTAAGTACCCACCCCTCGGAGGCAGGTGACATGGGGCCTTCTCATCCTTGCCGGACAGAAGACACCGAGTGCAGAGCCAGACACATTTGCCCCAAGCCTTGTGGGCTGCTGGGGGGCAGAGCCGTAACCAGAAGCTGGGTGCCCCTCCTCCTGGCCCCTTGCTGTTTCTTTGAGGTGGCAACTGCCTGTAGGACAGAGGTGATCGGGGAACAAGAACCCAGAAAGGAGGGGCAGATCCCATAGTCCCAGGTGGGCCCACCGGGTGTCCCACTACCTGGGCCTCCAGCTGTCCTGCCCCCGCCCTGGCCCCCACTGCGCCAGCACACAGCTCCTTCCAGAGCCGAACCTGAACCTAAGAAAGCCCCTGGTCCCTGGACTAGCCCAGGTGCAGGGTCCTCGGAGTCCTGCAGGAAGTTCAGGGGCCACGGGGAGACCCCCTAGGGAACAGCGTGGTGTGGAAACCCCGCTGGCTCAGAGCAGATTTCAAGACTGCTCAGTGCCACCAAGCAGGCAGAGAGCCGCCCCTCACACCTGCCCACGGAGTCCAGCACCTCAAGGGACTGTGGAATCTGACGTTGGGAGTGTTGGTGCGGATTCCGGAGTCCAGGTGTTCATAGGGATTCTGGCGTTGGCTGTGCTTTCCAGGCTGCGCCCTGACCGTGTGTGGATGGGAGTCTCAGCTGGCACCCCCCACTCAACTGGACCGGGCCCTAAGGAGGAGGGAGCAAGTTCTTGGACTGTCCCGGGTCCCCTGGCCAAGGGCGACTGGCTGCCCCGCCCCCAGGGGCAGGGAGGGCCCCTAACACATAAATCACCTTCCCAATAATATTTGTATTGATCATCTAGATTGGAAGCCTCGGTTGGCTCCATTGTCTCGCGTCCCCTGCCAGGGTCACAGATGGGGTCCCATCCCTTCATCTGCGTTTCCGACGTGACATTTAAATGGAGCGGCCTCCACGCCAGCCTCTGGCTGCCCCGGGTGCTGGGGGTGGGAGGAGTGAAAAAACATATTCCTCGAGAGAGAAATCATTAAATCTAGAGTTCGTGTGTAGAGCTGGAGTTGAAGCCAGGAGGGGCTGGTCCCTAGACACTCAAGGTAGGAGACCCCTAGAGCCACCTGGGCTCAGGCCCCTGCTGGACCCACTGACTGGACGCCAGCATTTTAACAAGAGCCCCCCCCCCCCCGCCGTGATTTCCCTGCGGGTTAATGTGTAAGACTCGCCACTCTAGTCCAGCCCTTATCCTGAAGGGAAACTGAGGCCCAGAGACGGCAAAGGCTTGCCTGAGGTCACACAGCAGGCGAGATTCCCCCGAGTCTCCAGTTCTGGCAGAGGCAATGGGAGGGCACGTCGCGTCCGGAGTGCGGAGCCCGCCATTTGCCGGGCCCCTCTCCCTCTCGAGTTCCTGCCTCCTGTCTCAGGGTGTGGACAGATGGTTCAGACCACAGTCTGACCCCCCTGTACTCTCCCAGCCTGGAGGGGCCAGCAAGAGCTCCAGGGACTCCCCAGGAGGGCGCCTCCTCCCGCCTGGGCCGGCCAGCTGCCCCCTTCCCTGGCAGCAACTGGACAGCAGATCCCAGGGAAAAGCACCACCTGGGTTTGCCCAGCACAGCCAGACATGGGGGGGGGGGGGGGCAGAGAGACAGAGGCCCCAGAGAGGCGGCCAGCAGAGGGCCCGGGAGAGGTGGGGAGCAGGGCCCAGCGCCGTGGTCCAGGGAAGGAGGCAGAAAGGACAGAGATACCGGGGAGGGGGCGACAGTGAGAGGACCAGAAACAAAGAGAGGGAGAGACGAGAACCAGGAAGGAGGGAGAAGGATCCAGAGAGAGAGAGACACTCACTGAGACCAGAACCAGCCAGACTGAGGAAGGAAGGAGGGAAAGAGGGAGGAGGGGGAAGGGAGGTGGAAGAGAGGGATGCGCCTGGGAGAAGGCAGGGAGGCAGCTGGCCTGCAGCGGGGGAGCCCGGGCGGCCCGGCCCTGCCTGGCCTGGCCCGGCCCTGCCCCCAGTGACGGTGCAGCTGCCACGCTCAGGCCCTACCATGAGGTCAGCCCTGCCCCGGGGCTGCAGGAAAATAAATGGTGTCCAAGATAAAAGGTCCAAGAAATTATTTGTCTTGTTGTCATGTCTTGACTGCAATAGGCAGGGGCCGGAGGGGCACCATCCCAGAAAGAAAGCTGGGGCTGCACACTCGGGACCCCGCCCCAGCCCCAGCCCCAAGCCTCGGCCACCCACGGCCCCAGCCCTCCACCTCCCAGAACCTGGCCTGGAAGCAGGAATGGCAGGAACGTGGTCAGGGTTTGCTCAGCCTCCACCCCCAAGGCCCCTCCAGGCTCTGGGAAGGCGGAGTCCTACCCAATTTGGTCATTGCTGAGGGTCTCTGGGGGCCAGGGCCTTGGGCAGAGAAGGGAGTCGGGGTGTCTCACTCCTCCCAGCCCCTTTGCAGAGGCAGGTGGTGGTTCCCAAACACCCAATCCCAGGGTCATTGCCAGGTCAAGAGGACAGTATAGCCCAAGATGCTATCTGCATGTCTCTCAGGTACACAGGCTCAAGCTCACACACACGCACACAAGCACACTTGAACATACACACAAACGGACTCACATGCCAGGCCGATTCTCACCACCACCAGCAATACCCGCAAAGCATTACCCAGAGGTCCCCACCCCTCCAAGCTTCTGAACCTGGGGCTGGTGGACCCAGGCCATGGGGCACAGCCACCTGCTTCGGGCCATCCCCAAGCAAGCCACTGATAGCCAGACAACTGCCATTTATGGGGCATTTACCAGTAAAAGCACTTTCTGTTCACTTCTTTGGCTAGTGCTCCCAGCAAGGCTCTCTGGGATAACCTGCTCTATCCGCATTTCACATGTGCGGAAACTGAGGCCCAGGAAGGCTCAGTGTCAGGTGCAAGATCGCACAGCCAGGACCTGGCAGCGCTGGGACATGAACCTGAGGTCTCTGAGGCTGGGGGACAGGGTTGGCACCTACCATATTTGTCCCCATCCTCGCCACGGGCGCTGATCCTGCGGCCCAGGACCTGGATGTGCTTGCCACTGGTCCGGCTGTAGAGCTGGTACAGCCGAAGCTGCTTACGGCTCACATCGTCCCGAGCCCGCGTCTGGTTCTCCACGTGGATTCGGAAGTCCACGTTCTCCTCGGCCACCAGCACCTGGGGAGGGAAAGAAGTGACGGTGAGCCCCCCCCGCCCCAGACATCCTGGGTCCCCTGTGTGCCAGAGCCTCTTCTATGCCAGCTCTGGGCCAGGCGTCCTCACGCACTCGTAACTGCCCCACTCCTACCCCCATTTTACAGAGGCAGCAACTGAGGCCCACTCAGAGAGGGGAGGCAAGCTGCCCGAGGCAGCCCAGGCAGGGAGTGGCAAAGGTAGGAATCAGGCTGGGCCTGTTTGAAACAAAGCTTGCTATTTTTCCACCACAGCCCCAAATTAGAGCAGGCAGTGTGCAGCACAGGTTTCGCTCGTGACCTTGGACACACGATTTGTTCTGTCTCAGATTCCTTCCCAGCAAAACAATGGAGCTGAGCCCTCGCTCTGGCTGCATCCCAGGGTGGCTGTGAGGTTCAAGTGAGCAAGTGGGTGGGCAAGTCCCCAGATCGACATGGAGATGGGAGCGGGTGGGGAGCACAGAGCTACTTTCCGGGGCCTCGGTGGGGAGGAGGGGGGCCGGGCAGGTCTCATCCGGGGAAAGAATGGGCCAGGGCTCACAGGCACGTCCCCCCCAGACCTGGTGCTCAGAGTCCTCATGCTTGTCCCGACCACCAAGCATCTGCCCATGTCCCACCTCCTACCGGAGCGGCCTTCACCCTGCACCCGTCCAAACATCCGGTATCCCCATGGCTTCAGTGCATGCATGACCGCATCCTCCAGAAGCCCCCCTGGCTATGCCCACGCTTGCCTCTCCAGTCTCCCTTCTCCCAGGACAGCCCCCCACCTGCCTCCTGCTTCCACTCCCACCTCCTGGTTGTCTCTCCCCCTGCAAACCCAAGTACCTCTGCGACTCCGCCTGCACACACCCCAGGGCTTCCCATTGCACTTAGAGGAAGTCCCCGCCTCAGCCTCTAGGCCCCGCAGGTGAGCCCCGCTGGCTCTCCACCTTCATCTCCTACCTACCGCTCCCTCCCCACCAGCTACACTGGCTGCATCATTACCCCACTGAGCTTTTCAAACACAGAATGCACAACTGCCTCAGGGCCTTTGCACCGGCTCCTCCTGCCGCAGATGCTCTCTCCCAGGTTTTTACATTCTGGCTCCTCTGTTTCATCCGGGACTCCACTCAGATGTCACTCTCTGAGACAGGCCATCCCTGACCGCTTCACCCCACCTCTGCCACTGTCCATCCCTCAACCACGCTTTGCATCTCCTCCCAGCACTTCGACCAGACGTAACGTCTATTCGTCTGGCTTGTGTCTGTCCTCCTGGCCGGGCCGGCAGCCCCAGGAGCGCTGCGGCTGTCTTTTGTGTCCTGTGCTGCTACATCCGCAACACAGGTGAAACGCGAACCTGTGTCGGATGAAGGACTGAAGACACGTATAAATGAACGCTGCGAAAATCTGGAGTCCCTCCCTCCATTTAACATTAAATTAGGTTTTTCTGTGCCCTGCTAATTACATGCCTGTCCTGACTCTTCTAAACCACAAAGCTGAGTGACTCTTAAGCCCCAGACAGATAGCATTCTAGGTTTATTCCACAGACCCGCAGGCCTGGCACGATGCCAGGCACTAGGACCTCAGTCCCACAACAGCATAGGCCACTCAGCCCTGGCAGAGCTCTTGGGACCCGGGCTGCATCTGTCTCGCCCCTCGGCTGTGAGCTGCCAAGGTCAAGAACCATGTTTCCCTCGTGGCCACGCCCACCTGCCCCCTGCAGACCTGCGAGACCCCCCAGCCCTGGCCCGGACCCCACAGGCACCTCAGCTGGACCACATTACCTTCACTACCATCCATGGGAAGGTTTGGCTCACGTTACAGACGAGGAAACCGAGGCTCTGAGGCTGAACAATAAGGTCACAGAGCGGGCGGTGGTCGTCCAGACCCCACCTTTGGCTCCACCTTGCTGGATCCCACCTGCCCCGCCAGGGCTGTCCAGAGCAGGTTCAAAACCCAGGGCACTTCCTAGCAAAGGCAGCTCACTAACCTCCCTGGGCCCCTGTCTCCTCACCTCTACAATAAGGGTGAGGATAATGGCACCCACCCCTGGGTGCTGGGGTTAAACATACGAGGTCCCTGCACAATGCCTGGGCCAGGGTAGGGGCTCAGCAGGGGGACGGCCGGGGGAAATGCCACGTGGCCCTGGGAGAGGCCCTCCGGGAAGCCCTGCAAGCAGAAACTTCTTGGGGACACAAGCACAGCACTGTCCCTGTCCCTACAGACAAGGTACTTCCAAGGCAGGAATTACAATTTGGGAAGCTGCTATTGCTTTTGGTCGTCTGGACCACCCTGCAACATGGGGACGCTTATCAGATCCATCTGACAGATGCAGAAACTGAGGCTCAGAAAAGGCGAGTCAGTTGCTCTGAGTCACGCAGTCCGTGACAGGCAGCCTGGCCGCTGGCCCCTCACCACCATTCACAGCCGGGACCCAGCCATTCCTCTTCCTGATACGCAGGGAGGGGAAAACCCCCGGGCGGGGGGGGGTCCATGGGTCCTGATGGCCCTCAACCTCCCTGCCACGACTTCCCACGGAGGTCTGGCCCTGCCCCCTCCCCCAGGGGCAGGTCTCCGGCCTGCCCCCTGCCCTCCGACTCTCCTCCTGCTCACGGGAGACCTTATCGACCAGAGGTCAAACCAATCTCCTCACCCCAGGTCCCTGAGGGGAGCAGCCCTGCCCCAAAAGCCAGGCTCCCATTAACAATTTTCTCCCTGGCGCCCTGGACAGAGGCGGCATGGTGACCCGGGGTCAGCAGGGGCCATCCGGTGGCCCTTCCCCAGGATGTGGGAAGAACCATCCATCTTACCCAGCTTCCACCATTTAAGCCAGACTCTGTCACATCAATCCCAAGGGAGGTGGCAGGAGTGACCTCTGACTCGGAAAGAGTCCATCCCCTTGACAAGGCAGGAGGCCCCTGGGCTTCCCGGGGAAGACTTCTGGGGGCTCCAGGCCTTTGCACAAGCCCACCTGACACCTGCCCTCAGGTGCCTCGTCTGGAAGCCTTTCCTGCCCCGCCCCACCCCAGGCTGGCCGAAGGCCTCTGGACACTCTGGCTTATTGTCCCAGCATCCAACATGTCTGGTTCTCCCTGCGCCTCCGGCTCTGCCCCCAGGAGACACCCCACCAACATCCGCTCAATGCCTGTGGCTGGGGCCAGGGAAACCTGGTGGCTGGAGTCAGCCGCACTGCTTCCTACCCGGACAAGCAGAGCACCCAACACAGGGGTGACAAGGGGGGTTTAAAGCTATCGGTTGCTATTCCGGGCTCTCTGCTAAGGAGCCTTTAGACATGGCACCTTGTCTAATTCCCTCAGCCACCCAGGGAGGCGGGCCCCAGGGAGGGCCGGAGCTCGGATCCCACCTCTGAGGCAGCTCTCGGGCCCACGGGGCTGCCGGGGTAGCCTGCCGGGCTCACACAGAGCAGCGGACTCAGGACCGGCCTCCCTCCCCCTGTCCTGCTGCTGGGCAGCAGGGTGCTTGGCCCATCCTCCGGGCCTTCCTAGAACAGTCTGGACTCCCCTCCAGGTGTCTAGTCATGGGGTGGGCGGGGCAGGCAGTGTTGAAACACTAACTCCCTGATTCAGGAACTGCCTAGGGGCAACAAGAGCCCCACAGGTACAACTGCCTCCCCAGCCCTGCCTCCCAGGCCCCTCGGGGACATGGTGCTGAGTGGGACCGGGCGCCCCCTCCACCTGCAGTCTCCCCCTGGTCAGCACGGGTCTCCAACGCACTGCGCAGGGGCGGGGCTGTTTCTCTGCTCCGGACCCCGCCTGCCTCCCCACTGCTCACAGCACAGCCGCCGCAGGTGGGAACTATCTTGGCGCTCTAGCCCTGCCTACCTTCCACGCCTCCACTCTGAGGCTCCTGGATCAGCACCTGCTGTGGGGTGACGAGGCTCAGGTGATGGGCCCCTAGCCCAGGGCCAGCTTCCAGGCAGGAGCCCCGGTCCCCCGGCTGCCCCCTGCCGCCTCCCCTACCCACTGGCACAGCACCAGCCACCAGCGCTCCCCAAAGCTGTCAGCCACACTCACCCACCCCTGGCTCTGAAGGTACGTTTGGGGCTCCCTGTGTCTTCCCAAGACACAGCCCCACATCCCACAGGCGTCTGCCACATCACACGTCGCCCACGACACATATCGTACAAACACGGGCACCACACACGCCAACAACGTGATAAACAGCACAGACTCAGGGGCGCCCTGGCCACGCCCCACCCCAACTTCTTTGATTTCTGTGATCCTCCGTTTTCTCGCTGGCAGAATACGAGTTGTCACTAACACTGATGCCAGATGGAGATTGTACGTGTAGCAACGGTCACGGCCTTTTCCCCTTTTGTTTGGTTTCTAAACCGCCGCCTCGCTGCCTATTGAACACATCTTCTGAGTTAAGAACCACGTGAGGTCGATGATGCTACGGACTCCCCAGAGTGGCCCTGAGAGTTGGTATGATTACTGTCCCCATTGTACAGGTGAAGTAACTGAGGCTCAGAGAGGTCACATCACTGACAAGTCAGAACTGGTGAGAAAAGGAGTCGAGTTTCACATCCAGTGCCCCCTCCGTCTAGGGTAGAAACCAGGCTCCCACCTCCTCTCCTTCCCCCCGCTCCCTCCCCCTGTTCGGGGCACCAGTTGGTTGTAGCTATGAGCTATCACCGTGGGATAGGGCTGGGCTGGGGGCCTTTAGTTCCGTCCCCCACCCAAGAGAGGAGGCTCGGGTCAGACTGCCCCTTCTGCCCAGGTGCCCATTCTCGAGGCTTCGAACAAGCTGTGCCCCTGTCTGCAGGCAGCCTGCCCAGAAAGGGAGGGTCTCCCTGGTCCCAGGAGGGGCAGCCCACAGACTTCCGGCCACATTCCACCACCGCCAGCCTCCTCCCGTGGCGGGCAGCAGCCACCACCAGTAGGGCCAAGACCTTCTCCCGGTTCCGGATTCGAACCTCAGACCTGCGCCCCACACCCCAGGAGTCACACCTGGTAGAGTTAGCCCCGCTCTCCAGCCCGAAATGCA